AATATAAAAAAATAATATTCATAAATAAATAAACTTTAAAAAAAAAAAAGAAGCATTTGGATTGACTCTTGGTGTTTTGGGTAAAGCAGAGACTCTGGGATCTGTGTCAAGGCCCAGGTTTGGGCCACAAGGCTGATGAAGTGCTCAGAGTGATTTTTGGTTCAAATTTCCTGGCTAAACAAAATAACATAATCATCAGGGCTAAGGAAAAGGGAAGGGTAGGTCACTGAAGGCTAAGTGTAGTGAAGTAAGACACTTTAGAAACGATGCTCGGAGCTGTGATTTCACTCCTGGATGTTATGATATTACATGTGCAAAAGAACGAGAGCTCAAGTGGTAGATTCTATTCCTTCTGACATGATACAAGAATTCTCATTTCTAATTTTTAAAGTAAGAGGTCCCTTCACAGAAAATAATGAATGTCCTAATAATGAAAACGTCTGAGAAAAGTGAGTCAGAAATTGGAAAATGAACAAAGAATTGAAGGAGAAAGGAAATACAGATTACAAAAATTCCACGGTCACAATGTATGGGGTGGCACAGACAATGTTTACTTAACCTTTGAGGGGCTAAGCTAATGCTAGGGTTCCATGGTCCCTTCTATGCCAAGCATTCTTCAGTCTGTATAACTCTAATTCCTCCAGTGTGCCACAGGAAACATTCAGTGACTATGTTTGTCTACGAAATCACTTTCAGAGAAATAAAAATGCATTTGGCACGTACCCTATCATGATAATGAGTCTGTGGCATTGCCAAGTATCATTTATGGAATCCTCTGTTACAATCAAGAACATTTCTTTGCAACACCAAATTATAAGGTACGTATAGTTTAGATTAGAAATCTTGTATGCCAGTTTTGGATGCAGAACTCCTTATTAATTATGCAATAATACCATTACCCTTTCACTTTAATATGACAGTAAGAAGATCCCAAATGAATAATACAAAACTTGCTTCAACCAGCACACACGGAACATGACTGGCTCCTGAGAGGCATTTTCCAGTTCTCTGGAGGATAAAGAGCAGATCATTAGCAGGATGTAGAATTAGGAAAAGTTATCGCATGACCACCCCAAACAATTCTCCTGTTCTCTTTACCTTTTCTTAAATATGCTTTTATTTTTGCAGGCTTTCCCCTTACAACTTCCCCCACCTTCCATGTTCTGCCTCCTTCAGTCCCTTTATTAATTTCTAGTCATCCTTCAAGGGCCACTCAAGTTCTCTCATTTTCCGCCAGACTGTCCCTTACCTCAATAACCTACCTGGATCCTTCCCGAGGATTCTTCCCACCTCTGAGCTTTTGGGATTCTATATTGTTTCTACTGCAAAAGAAATGTCTTCTTCGTATTAATATTCTATTTTATTTTTTAACAGCACAGGTGATTCTGATGATCAGCTAGGACTTGTCAGTATAAGCCTTTTCTCATGATAGGGAGAGACTGCTTTCTGCCTTTTTGAATTTCTTAGTGTTTGCAATTAGGCATGTTAATTAGTAATGGCTGAGAAATGGGTATGAGGATAGGAATATACAAATGAAAAAGCCTGAAGCTTTAAAATGAAATCTATTTAAGCTACTTAATATTTGGTAATAGATGGAAATAAAACAGGATATACAAAATGTCATCCTTAAAATAATCTTAATTTTATCAATTAGAATGTTCCAAGAGAATTTTAAAAAGCCAAAAAGCACATACAGGTGATTGATATAATGAACCTTTTAGAAAATTTTATTACAGCTTAAAAAATCAAGGGATGAACGAGAACCCAAAAGGTGGGAAAAAAAGAGAAATGGGAATATGAACAACTGAAAGCAAGCAGCAAATGGGCTAGCGTAAAATTACATTTTCTTTTTGATTGACTCTTTAAAACATTCTCTATGACTTAAGTGCTTTATAAAAAAACAAAAACTTGAAAAATAAAACAAAATGCCAAACGGGGGGTGCCCATTTGTGGTATAGGAGTAAAGAGCAGTAACAATTGAAAGTCTAGAGATCTCTTTAATGTGGTTTACAATACCCTTCAGAACTTGATCCCAGTATACATCTCCTCCTGCTACTGTTCTCTCTTCCAAAAGGGTCTTGCCATACTGAACTATGCTGGAGCTGGGCTCACACGACCTTATAAGGCTTTGCATAAACTGCGCTCACTATCTGCAAGACAACCCCCTTACTCTCTCCATTTGTGACTTATATTCATCACGAGCCCTGTGTGTTCCTTCTTGGTATTACTTATCACAATAATGCAGCTACTGGTTTGCTTAACTGTTTCCCTTCCTACTACCTATAGCTCTATGATGGCAAAAAATGTCTCAACTTGTTTAGAATTACATCCATGGGGCCTGGCACATATAAGTAAGTATTCAGTAAATACTGCTGATTATGTAAGTAAATAAATGTAGAAAATAGGTAATTCTTGACGCATAATAAAATATGTCATGTACACACTGTACACATACTATTCCTTTGCAGGCATCTTTAAAAGATTCTAGGTCTGTTAAAAATAGTTAATCGAAAGGCTCAAATTTGTGAGATAAAATTCTAAATATGAAAAAATTTCCTTTATACTATTCCACTTCTACAACTTTTTTTGATGGACAAATACTGCATTTATCAATTTGTTTTCCAATTAAATAACAAAAGTGTTTTTATTTCTCTCAGAACTTTTAAAATGTGAACATTTTGTAATTCAGCCACAGCCTTTACTTCCAAGTAACTTCTTCACTGGGTCTCAATACCCTTTAAATAACATACTCTTGTTCTGGAAGGCAGTTAGCTTTTCATCATTCCTTCTGTCTAGATAACACCCAGACAAATCCCAGAGGGACAAGTATATGAACCTAGTGGTCATGCAGAATCTGAAGCACCATGACTGCTGAGACCCCACGACCAAGGGCAGTGGCAGGCTGAATCACTCACCTATCAGTTTGTTTTTTAATGCCACTGTATTAAAGTGTACACAGGGCTCTCATTCCTTTTGAATTAGGTCATCAAGAAATGCTAAGCCAAAATCCTGAAAATCTTGGCACAACCTGCCATACTGAAAGAATTGGTTATTTGCCCATAGTTTCAATACGTTGTGACATTTTTTAAAGGAGGGTTCAGCTTCAAAATGTAGAACTATCGGGCCGGCCCGGTGGCGCACTGCTACAGTGCGCCGCTTGGGAAGCGCGGTGGCGCTCCCGCCGAGGGTTCGGATCCCACATGCAGACCGGTTCCCGCTCACTGGCTGAGCTGGGTGTGGGAGCGACGCCGAGGGTTGCGATCCTGTTGCCGGTCCCGGTCCGGTACGGGCGCGACACTGAGGGTTGCGATCCGTTGCCGGACACGAAAAAAGACAGAAAGGAAAAAAAAAAATGTAGAACTATCTATCTCATCTCACACTCAACAATCATATAATATATGATTCAAAAACATCAATATTAAGATTATATAATTTTAAAATCAAGTATTTACATAGTTTAATTCAAAATGGAAAGAGTCTAAAACTGGTTATGCAGCACAATGCTGTCAGGACAACTCTTACAGGCAACGGCTTTGGTGAATTTGGTGAATTTCTTATCATAGTCCTATAACTAAAAGGCTCTCAAATCCAACATGGAAAATGTTTTCAGAAACTGTAGAGACATGCTGCAAAGTACTCTCCTCTGTCTCACCCTGCCCACTCTCTCTTTTCCCGTCCTCCCATCTTTTTCTTCCTCTCTTTAAAAGAGTGAAACCAGATAATCTTAACAACGTTCAAAACTTGATATAGGTGAAAAGTATATCAATTAATCCCTTTCTAGATCTGACTCTTTAATTAAAAGTGAATTTGCTACATGCATACAGTGAATTACTGCTCAGCAGTAATAAGAAAAACTAATTCACACAGCAATTAGATGAATCTCAAAAACATTACACCGAGTAAACATTGCCAGACATAAGAGTACATATGTTATGATTCCATTTACAGGAAGTTCTAGGAGCATGCAAAACAAATCTATGGTAACAGAACTCAAAACAGTGATTGCTTCTGGTGAAGAGAGGAAATGGCTGAGAAGGGCATGAAGGATCTTTCTGGAGTCACAGAAATGTTCTTCATCAGACTGAGGTGTGGATTACACTAGTATATGCGTTTGTTAAAACTGATCAAACTGTATAATTAAGATCTGTGCATTTCCCTGTGTGTAAACTATATTCCAATTTTAAAAAGAAAATGCTTTCTTTCTAGCTCTTTTAAATTTTTTTATTACCTCAAAATCTGAAATAAAACTTGGTCTCTACAAAGTATTTAGTATTTCATAAAACATATTACCATTGCTCACCTGCAGTGAAAGAAACTTTACTTTCCCATGGAAAAAACGGCTGAAAATCACATATAAGAGAAGCTATGGGCTGAGGTAGGGATAAGGACCAGCAGTGATGTAGATTTTTCTAGAACTTTTCAATCTATCAGATCTAAAAATGCTTTACAAAAAATACTTTTTAGAGTCCTGTGCTACAGGTTTATAGGTTTCATCTGGTGTTAAAGGAATTCTTGCTTTCATCTGATCTCAGCATACTACACAGCCACTCAAACCACACAAACAGAAACTGTGAGTACAGCATAAGGAAGCAACTGGGTTTGTACTTCTTTTTCATAAAGGTTGATCACTATCAATAAAAGCAAATAAAGAACTCCTGTTCAGGAAGCCTCATCACAAATATATCTTCCATGTACAATAACAAACTAACAATAAAACTTTTTACTGAACTTTATAACTCAAGGTCTAGCAGGGATTCCTAACAAGTTTACAGACAGGAAAAAAAGGAAAGAGGGTTTAATTGACTAAGAAGTCAATGGATAAAATACATTACTTCATCTGCATTTTAGCAAGCATCACACAATCCTTCAAATATGCATTTTCATTGGTTTTCTTTCCCTACATATTTTCTCTCCTCCTTTTGGGGAAATAAACACAAACAGTCACATTCATGTGAAATTAGTTGAATGCTAAAGGCTAGCAAAATTTCCAGACCACTCACCTTATGTTGGCTATGTGCTGTTGCACAGGCTGATGCTGAAAATGGTCAGGCCACGGATGGTGCAGGCAGAAGGATGGAGAGGGCTGAAAACAGCACGCAGTCTGATACACAGGTGAATGGTTTGGACAAAGAGATGCAGAATACTCGGAGTGTGGCTGCATGCAACATGAGGCCAAAGCAGAGGGTGCTGCAGGGCCAGCCTCGGGATGGCCCTCTGGGTGACTGGAATGGCTAGTCAGAGGGTGATGGTATGGGCAAGGATGGCAGCATTGGGATAACATCTGAGGTGTTCTTTGGTTGTCTAAAGGCAGGAAAGATGATTTAACTGTGCCATTAAGTTGCAGGCATCCATTGGGACTCACTTTTGTTCTTGCTGCTTCTTTGGGTGTGAGCTGCTGGGCTGCAAGGTCTCCATCACAGGACGTGAGGGGACTAGGGATGGTAGCACTGGTTGTGATGCTGCCATTGCTCAGGACCACAAAATCATTGTTTCCATTGCTCATAGCCATGCTCCAGTTTCTTGACCCTAAGAGAGAAAATGATACAAAATCATCCAGTTATAGTCAGGTGGACCAATACATAGGAAAGACAAGTAAGATATTTTTAAAAAGTTCTTTGAAAATGAGGGTTTTTGCAGGAGTTGTAAGAGAGTGGTGGAAACCTAACGGCACCTGCAATGGAACCAGCCAACACGCTGGCACTTTTTCTTTCCTCCACATACTTCATATGCACCTTAAGAGGCCTCTCCTATTCCTGTGGATCACTTTACCACCCACCCCACCTCTACTTTCAGTGCCTTTCTTTTCTCTGCATCCTAGATGTGCAAGTATCAGGAAAGAACTAGAACATTTAGGAGATGGGAAGGGAGAGGATACCAATACCATCCTTCAACTTTTCAACAATATCTCCCGGGGTGTTCTGATTTAGGAGTGATGGGCAAAATGAAAGGCCACTCTGAGGGCAATTAGTTGTATAAGTTAAAAATCTGAATAATCCTAAGAATATTTTATGCCTTAGAAAAATTTCCAGAATGACTTTTCCTCCAAATCACTCCTGTCCCAGAATAAGAATAAACAAAAGAAAATAAAAACTAGCCAAGTAAGAATTCTGGCAACCAAAATATCAGATGCAAAAGTTTTATCCTCTAAATCAATGAATATAATGCTAAAAACAATTAAACATGCCACACATGTCATCTACGAATTTATTAATTTGTTTTCTATGTCATACACTACAGGTAACACTGCTTGCATATGAGAAAAATAATACTATGGATGGGATTTGCTTCAGATGAAACTTTTTCTTACTTTTTTTCCTTCCACCAAAGGGTCTAGGCCTTCAATATAAAGAAAAACCCTTACATGCTCAAATTACCAGTAGCATGTTTGTCCGATCAACGGACAAGCAAAAACAGACAACCCACTCCCTCTTGCCTTGCCTACCCTTCCGCCCTCTGAGCAACATACACATAAAATCTGGGAATTTACAGTAAGGAAAATGGATCACCAAGTGCTATTAGTCTATTTAACCTATACACCAAAGCCAGCAAGAAAAAAAGATAACCACAATTTGACTCACTAATCCTTTGGAAATGTATTCTTCTAAGTACACAAAACAACTTCTGGAGAAATCTCTCTATAGTCCTTCCCCACCTCTGGCAGACACACAGATAACCAAAAGAAATTACCTCTCTTCAGTTTGAGTATGTGGTAATTTAACCTACAAACCTGGCTTACCCATGAGGAAAATTCCCAATGTATATTTTCACTCAATATATAAATGATTCAACAGGGTCATTTCTGAGCAGAGCATGCCAAGAGCATGCATAAAGTTTCAACCTGAATACTGGTATCCAGAAGATACTCATTGTACTAGGATGCAAATTTAGCAATATTATATTTACCTTTCAGATAAACTCTTCAAATACACACACACACACACACACGTTCAGTTAAATAAACATCACACAATAAGAAATGGAGGAATTAATGTAGACATTAAAAAATATCTTTATAAAATTTTTTAGTGGAAAGACAAAGCATTTTAAAACAAGATATATATATATATATAACAAGTAGTTACTTCTCTCATTAGTTTTATCATCACTTTTGAAAGTGGCTTTCCAATCCCAAACTTTCATTCATTCATTCATTTTGGCAGCTGGCCAGTATGGGGATCAGAACCTTTGACCCTGGTGTTATAACACTACACTCTAACCAACTGAGCTAACCAACCAGCCCCTGGAACTTCCTTTTATAATGTCCATTGAGAGGGATTTTGAATTGTAGTAAATATAGTTCTCTCTCCTTCCTTAAATCACTCCGGATATAAATACCCATTATAAAACACTCAAATAATATACCCAACACAACGCAATAGTAGTTAAATGTATTATCTAACTGTTAGAAGGCAGGGCAGGTAGAATGACTGGGAAGAGCACTCATTTGACCCAGGAGGCACAAACTCTAACCTTTCCATCACTTTCTAAATGTGCATCTCAGCAAGAAGACCTGCTCATTTAAGCTTCTGTTTACTGAAGAATATACCCTTTTTTGTTGTTGTTAACAAAAGGAAAATCTGTGTGCAAACACATAAATTAAAGGGCACTTAAAGAAGCCCTCCACTTTTTTAAAAAGTTAATTGATGCAACCCCTGCTCCAAAGCCTTCTCTCCAGACCTCAGGCGAACCATCCGAGCTGATGGGACCTGCTGGGCTGAACAATAAAATCCACAACTCCTCCTACTCTTCCCCTTAGGAGGATAAAAGGAAGAAATACTTCAGGTTTGTCTTTACCATCTCAGGCTGGTTAATATATCATCTTAGTGTAATTTTTGGTATTTAATTAAATCAATCCTATTGACTCTAATAACAGCTGTCAGGTGAGTTATGCTGATGAGAAGCATCCATCTAACAATAAAAATCTTCAAAGTTTTAAAGCGAAACTGGGCTTAAGACGAAGTGCCATCAACCTCTAACACCCTTCAAAGTACCCTGAAATCCCCCCCTACACTCTTCACAATTTTCATGTTTCTCTATCTTCTAATTAAATCTGCTTTTCCCCAGGGGGGAAAGGTTTCCTTTTCACTGGAAGCAGAATCATTTTCACTGTAAGCAGGACAATGTATAAAGATGTATGTATGCATCAGGATGCTGATGCAGCGTTGCTGTTTCCTATTATTTTTGTCGCAAATGCATCGTTTTGTAGTTAAACCAGAGTTAAACAGACTCTTGTAGGCCAGCCAAGGGACCTAACCACCATTTATAACATTTTTTTTCCCACTGTGATAAAGTGCAGTTCAAGTGCCAAATCACTGACTTACGAATGAATTTTTGGAACACAACCTGTCTTGTAACTTGGAGACTTTTTGTAATAAGTAGGAACTAGTGGATAGTAAAGAATAATTTGAACTCAGACTTTGGCTTGTATCTGAAGAAAGTCACATGAGCTTTCATTCAGTTTCTTTAATCATAAAACAGGAACCATCGATTTAACTTTCATAAATAAGTAAAAAATACAAGGAAACCATAAATGTCTATGGATTATTTAAGTTCAGTGTATGTATTTGTGTAGGGGTGCGGGTAACCAGAATAGCAAAGTTTCAATCTGAAGTCAAGAGTTGACACTAAGGCAATACAGAGAAAGACTGTTTTTCTTTAGAACTTAGACAAATGAGGAAAAAATCCAGTCTGAAACTAGAACGGAGGGAACAGGATAGAAGATAAGATAGAGGAAGAATAAGCATAATAAAAAGAAATGAAATAAGGAGCTCCTGAAAGAAAATGTTAATAACCTATTACTTCTGCTAAACTACTGTAATAAATGTAATGGTATGTTATTATAAATGCAGTGGTAATAATATTTATGGTGGAAATTTAATATAAGTTTTGGGTCAAATATAATGACAGCTAGGTTGAAATCACCTGTTCTCCCCAAGGCCACAACACACAGAAGATGCCAAAATAAAGATATTCTTGAGGCAGTGGCTTGAGCTGTGATAGGCCCCTAACAAGATATTTTAGTGTATTTCCCAGCATTCACGAATATAACATGCCAATATCAATATATGAAAAGCCACTTATCTTACATTCCCTATTTCACCTTTTTGACTAGCATTTTTATGTCCTGAGTGATTTGGCAGTTTTGGGGCTATAAGATGTATCGCCAAGGACCATCTTTTGATTACATTTTAAAATTTAAGGTTTTTTTCTTTGAGCCTCAGTTCTTCACATGTATAATTCAGGGTAATAATCAATATACATCTCATAGAATAATTATGAGAATGTAAAAATGTTTTGAAAACCATAAAGGGCTATGTATGTATAATGAAAGAGTTATCATTATTGCTTGATTGAGTAATGAGAATATAAAAAGATATGGAATGATACTTCCTAGTTTTAAAGCCAAAATTATGCTCAAAAATGGCATATGTAGCTTAGAAAAAATAGCATGGGTAGGTCTGAATTTGAAAGCTGATTATACTAGTTATTAACTTTGAGAACCTGGATCAGGTTACTTAAACTCTCACTGTCTCTAAATCTTGGCTTCTTCTTAGAGTTAAATTTGTTTGAAATGCAAATTGGTGCAACCTTCTAAGAGCTATGGGGCACTACTTATCAAAATTTAAAATACCTTTATATCCTTTGACCCACAATTCTACTAGAAATTTATCCTTTGGATATATTTGAACAATGTATATATGTATGCATTAGGATGTTGACTGCAGCACTGTTTGTAACAGTGAAAACTGGAAACAATTTAAATTATCATCAAGAAGGGCTTAAATTCTGTTATACCCATACTTGGGTATTCTGCACAATAAAAAAGAATGAGTTAGGTCTGGGTGTATTGCTATGGAAAGAAGTCCAAAAAATATCACTATGTGCAAATAAAATGCAGCTGCAGAACGAACTATATGGAGTGAATCCATTTTGTAAAAAAAAAAAAAGTGTGTGTGTGTGTAATATATATGCATACATAAATAATTTTGAGAAAGACATAAGAAAATGCTAATATTGTTTCCTGCTGGAGACTTGGACTGAGCTATTTGGAAGAATGGAGGAGACTCACATTTTACTTTCTGTACTGCCTACAACTTTTACTACAAATGTGTCTTTTTTATAGTAATAAACTATTACTTAAAAAAACATATAAAATCCCTAGCATAGTGATTGACAATGAACAAAAATTATTACTAAAATGCAAAAAAAGAAACAAAACTATTTTACTTAAAGGATAACTAGACAGATATTCACTGGATACATTTCAAATTATCTTTCAATACATAACTGCTTTTTTACAACGACACCTGTTTTAGTATGTTTTGTGGTGCTATAACAGAATACCTGAGACTGGGTAATTTATAATAAGCAAATTTATTTGGCTCACAGTTCTGGAGGCTGGCAGTCCAAGACTGAGGGGCAGCATCTGGCAAGGGCCTTCTTGCTGCACCACCCCATGGCAGACGGGCAAAAGAGAACATGTGCAAGAGTGGGAAGGGGGCCAAACTCATCTCTTTATCAGGAAC